TCGCTCACATCCAACACATACTAAACGCAGCACATATGTGAACCTCTTGACGGATCTACACTGAGCCCACCCACACTCGGCTAACGGGAAAAAGACCGGGCGTACATGCACTGCGGGACGTTGCCGCGGACGAAAGGAATGGCTCCGTGCGCGCGGAGAACCTTGACCAGCAGACCGTCCTCTTTGCTCGGTCCCTTGGCGGCCTTGCACGCCATGCCGCAGGTGGTCAGCTGATGCAGGGTGACGATGGGAGAGGAGGGGGGGGGGTTACTCATAGTCGTGCATGCCGTAGTCGTGAGACCATTCACCTCGCATCCCTACAAAGCCGGGACGGAGCACGCCGGGTTCTCACCGGACCAGGCTCTCACATCACCAAGCGCGAAGCGCCGTGAGATATTCGGCGAGTCGCATGAAGGGTGCGCTGCATCCTGCTAAGGGTGTTCGGCATCTTGTGCTTACTTCCTTGCGTACGGATGACAGCTGCGTATGAATTAATTTATTTTCTGGTGCTTTCACTTCCAGAGACAGTGGCAAGCACTGTGTAACTGCCTCGAGGGCGCTTGACCATTTTAACACAACGTGGTGCGATCATCCCCCTTGCGCGGAGTGAGGGTTCTCGACTCCGCACAACATGATCTACTCGACCACCATTATGGTTACCGCCAAAAAAAAACAGAGGTAAAAAAAAAAACGGTAACCTGGTTGCCGAGTTCACGAAGTGAATTGGCTCGTCGTTGCCAAGCGACGAAAACCCAACCCCGACGGCAAACACCGGGGGGAGGGGGGTAGAGTGAGCAAAAGAAATGGCCCCAAGAACGCACTATATTTAGGAAACGAAGTGGCGTCTTCACGCTCTCGTGGTGTGTGGAAGCGAGCAGTTTGGACTGCTATGCTTGAGCACGAAAACAAAATCGATGAACACGGGGGTGCCGTGATGTCGAAGATGTTTTCCTCAGCATACTACCGGGTCGGGCGCCTCCCATGTCTGATGTGATCCAGCCGGTAGGAGACAACTGCTGGTTGTTATTGGAAAGAGACAAAAATAAGGCCTACGAAGGACATGGAAAAACTACAGAGAAGGGAAGGTTTTCATCTCACGACTGCACAACAACGTTGCATTCCACGCGACTAAAGAAAAAAGCCGACAGGTCATTCACACTCGCTCAACGATGACGAAGGAAGAGAGAAACGCACGCCAAGAAAAATGCGAGGAAACATGAGAAGAACACCACAAGTCATATTCTCAACACCGGCATCGCTGCCGATGCCTCATAACTCTCCCTCCACGCTCATGGTTTTGGCGGTTTCCATACAGGATTTTTCCCCGCACACAGAGAGCGTGTGTTGTTTGTAGGGCCCACGGGGTAGAGATGGCTATATCACCCCGGTGATAGAAGGACGGGGGTGCGTGAAAGTGTACGGCGATCTCGCCTCTTGTTGGTCGCAACCATATTTTGCCACAAGAGCAAAAACGGTACGCCGAAGGTGTTTTATCATCTAAATTTGGGAGGAGCAATTTATGTCGGGCTTCAACCCAGGTGAACGGCGTGCGGTCGTGTCTAGCATCAATCGACCCGCTCAGATTCGCCATATTTGTTAGAACTTATAACTTCAACCCCAAAAACCAAAAAAACGTCCCGTGCTTGGGAGGAGGGAGCTGCTTCTTTTGCCCCGCTAGCTTCAACGTACACGACAATGCTTTAAGAATCGACAAAACCCCACGGGTTTTCCAGTCAACAAAAGCAACCGTCGAACCACGCGGACCCAGAGACGGCGCAACCTCAACCATGCATATGAAAGAGTCGGGCCTTGCTTGCTTACCGCGCCCTTCATGTGCATGGCGTCCTTGATGCTCATCGGCATCCCCTGGAGAAGCCCGGTGCTAGCCGTAGCGCCGCCCCCGCCGCCGCCGCCTGCGTTCGCATCCACCATCCTGGCGGCTTGGATGGCCTCATCATAGAACTCTTCGGTAACGCCGTTCGTCTTGACCCTGCCGACCGCGCGGGCTCTGCGGCAGAAGGCGGCCACGGCTCGTTCGCAAGACAGGGTGCCGTTCCGCATGGCTGCCATGAGCTCGGTGCCTGTAAGTCTGGCGATGCGAGTGTCTTCGGCGTGGCGCTCCTCCTGATGGAGATTTCGAGTTGGCCACGATTTGGTCAGAATTCCACGGAGCCAGCTAGATAACACGTTTCGCTGCGGAACGGTTCGTGCGAATAGATTCGTTTCACGTGCATGGGCGGGGCTCTATACAGGCCAGGTCAAGCCCGAGGGATTAGAGGACCGGTCAGGCGCCATCAGACACACGCAGGGGGAAAGCACGGGCCTACCTACCTCGGAAGCGTGATCAGCAGCAGTCATGGCGAAGGCAGTCCAAATGATCATCGAAGGGGTTGCGCACAAACGCGTCATACCTCATGCTCACGCGCGCATGCCTAGTGATTCCGAAAAGCATAACCCATCCTACGTACCCACGGCAAAGGTATTTTTTGCACGGCTTGTGTTGCATCAAGCAGGCACGCACACCTAGAAAATGGCAGCAGAGCGGTCAAATGATTCTCGTACGCTCCTCGCGGCAATGTACACGTACACGCGACCGTCGGTCCAATCTGTCCTTGCCTAAGTCACCGCCTTCGCCGTGCCTGCTGCATGTCCAAGGGATCATAGAAATCGGTTCCAGACACTAATGTACTCTACTGAAACTCGCTGTCGCCGTCCACCTTTCTCTCTCATTCTTTTCATCGAAGTTCCCCTCCGTATATTTCATCACGAACCCTGTTTGCCTGTGCGCGTACATGGGGACAGCAGTGTCTCACGTGGCGCCCGGCCAAACTGTCGAAACAAACTAAGCCGTCACCCGTAAACCTTGGCAGAGAGGCAACCGGCCACCGAAGACACCATTGACCGGTATGTTGCCGCGCCCGTTAGGCGCATGCGCAACGAAGCGGCAGGTCAAATCACGGAGCCATGGCCCTCATGTGACGGGCGTTGGAGTTTCTGTGGTACGAGAACGACTCTACTGTATGGGGTTGGTGCGGCATTGTGAAGACGTGTTTCACGGCTGTAGCCTCTCATGAAGACAGCTTGGGCTTCTGTGTGCGGGACAACAAAAAGTCACTCTCTGTGTTGGTTTGTCTACCCCAGCCGCGCCAGCAACGCCAGTTACAGAACACAAGCGACTACTTACGTCCTTAGCTGAGAACTACCACGGCGCAAGAATCGCGGCGAAAGAAGGCCGGGTGACCGAGAAAGAACAGGAAATCACATCTAACGCCACCAGGTGCCTCGTGGGCGGAACGAAGAACGGTCGTGTGTCAGAATTAGGAAAAGGGTCACTACAGCAGTCGTACTACATAAATCGGCTGGCTTCACATCATCGGTAAGTTACGCAACTGCTATGGAAGATGTGAGCTGGTGGCAATCGACAGTCGAGCACTTCAAGAATTCAGCGCGGCATGAGAGGCTCATGCGCTCAGCACAACCCCCAGACTGCTGTTTGCACAATATACACTACTAATGATACCGAGCCGTCAGCGTACCCACCGGTGCTCTTCACCGACGGTAGACTTGCTTGAATCCACCTCGAAATCTCGGGCCATCTCCAGACACACCAGCGTGCGCTCGATTTGACACCTTACGTCCTTGGTTTCCGTTCCCACCCTGGCACCAACGCTATGATGCGCGCCAACTCTCCGATCTTTACGGTACGGACTCTGTTAAGATGTACAAGACAGCATATCCACTGTGCTACAAGTCAGCGCTGATATGCACAGTGGATAGTCTAGACTATGCTGTACAACTTAACAAAAGTACAACTGGGGTTCGAATCCCTCGTGGACCCCTTGTGACGCCTTTTTTCCGGAAAAGTCCGGGATACGCCTGAGAGACGGTATACATTCCAGTCGTCCGAGTGAAGACACATCTTCCCGGCTGTAAGTCGATGAACCGCATGGGCAGCGCTGATTACAGGGAGTACAACCCTGGAGTTTACCGAGGTAGAACAGCTCTAACAGGCTGAAGGACCCCGCTGACTTGTAGCGTAGTGGATATGCTGTACATCTCGACAGACTCTCCGATCTCTGCGGTACTTAACCTCACAATGTCCACAGCGGCAGCTGGTGTACAGCAGTCTACAGAGGCTAAATGTATGTCTGTTGATATAGACGTGCGTACAAGTACATCGGTTTTCTCCCGACTGCAGAGCAGTACTGCTGCAATCTCGACGTCTGTTCGATGCAATCCATGTATCTTATCCAAACTCCAGGAACAGAAGGCCCGGAATGTCGACATCAGTGGGTGCGCAATCCTCCAGACCCTATGGGTACGTAGTCCTAGGACAGGGCGTGAAGCGCACAACTACTGCTGTGGTGTAGACGTGCAACGTGTATTGCATCTCACCTGCTGCGCTGATCCGTCTTGAAGCACATGATGCGTGACGTTGTCTCGCTCTTGGAGTACGCTTCGGCACACCGCGTCCCAATGCTTCTGGGAACGCTTTTCCTCATTGCCCCCCCTCGCAAAGTACAAGACGAGCACCAGCACGAGAGCTGCGCCAGCAATGGCCACGCCCTGAGCATCGCCGTTGGCCTCCATATCTCTCCCCTCCCGGAGAGGTGGAAGCAAGTAATTTAGGTGCAGCACAGCAGTGCACTCTGTACAAGGATTGCTGCTGCAAATCCAGCTCGCTTCGACCCTTCTAGCGGGATCCTATGCGAGGACAGATGGATAGTCGTACTGGTGAGAGTCCCACTCCTCTCTCTTCGTTAACCTTCCCTTCGACCTCTGACCCGCCTGCCCAGCAGTGTGATGTGCTGCCGAACTGTGCCGAACTCTCCTTTTATATTTTGTATTTTTCTTAATATGACACAACGAGTCCATCTCTATCATAGAAAAGAGTCAGAGACAGATTAACAATGGAATCATAGCGTCAGAGAAAACTACCTGTGTGTCTACGATTTCCCAGACAGCATATAGGGACATCTCCCCTGTGGGTAACAGGCTCAACAAATCAGTTTGGTAGCTGTCTTGTGTGTCTCATATATGTTATGTTGGGAAGGTGCAGACGAAAGGTGTTGGGTACTGTTGGGTAGTCGGGCGTTTTGTGTGTCGCACCCTATGAGCTCTAACACATGCAATCTCCATCAGTTTACAAACATATTCTCAGTTTGGTATGCATGTGTGCGGAGTATGTGCGGCTGATGTGCCATCTCTATCATAG